CAAAATCATCCATTGCATTAATAATATAATTTTAATACAAGTGTTCTGTCAAATCATAATAGACACTATAGTATAAACAAAATGAAAGATGAGTCTTGATCGAGCTCCATCTTCTTTAAACCTTGCATCGGTACCTGTCTATCGTTGACCTAAGGATACAAGTTATTTTGAAAGAGAGTATCAGCTTTAAAGCTGGTGAGATCATAAGCATTTTAGTGTCTTAATTTGTATGTAAGTATTTGTATGTATATGAACTGTAAGTCTTGAAAATGTATATGAACTGTAAGTATGAAAATTTTTTGTAGAACAAATGTAAATGTTTGAAAAACCCTAGAAATCCCTATGATTCCCGCTACTATAAAAGGGGGTCTTCTACCAAGACCTAACTGTTCTGAATGTAGCCTTCTACCAAGACCTAACTGCTCTGAACGTAGCCTTCTACCAAGACCTAACTGCTCTGAATGTAGCCTTCTACCAAGACCCGATTGTTCTGAATGTAGCCTTCTACCAAGACCCGATTGTTCTGAATGTAGCCTTCTACCAAGACCCGACTGTTCTGAATGTAGCCTTAGTATTACCCTTTGGTACTAGGGTAACTAACAATGTTAATTGAAGACATCCGAAGATGTACATTTACCTCTGTTGCTAACAGCTGGGTATAGGAATAGTTAGTCCCTTAAAGTATACCTGTAATGGTATCAACCGTTGACATCCGTGGATGTGCTTTTACCTCTGTAGCTAACATAGATTCTAGGAATGGTTAATCCCGCAACGTATCCTTTTGTACTAGGATATTAAATCCAATCTATCTCGTCGATTATGTGATTGAGTCACAAGGTAAAGATAAGAATGAGGATTATATAATAGAATCTATACATATAAAATGTACTAGTAATTCGTGTACGTGTACTCATGTAAATGTATCTATGTAAATGTAGTCATGTAAGTGTATATATGTAAACATATTCATGTAAATGTACTCATGTAGATGTATCTATGTAAATGAGTCATGTAAGCGTATATATGTAAACATATTCGTGTAAATGTACTGTAATGTTCTAGCTGTAATGTATGCTCTCTCTATCTAGCAAGTATGGTAATGTATTGTAATGTTATAGAAAGTATTGACTCATGAATGAACTGACTCATTGTATGATATTGCGTTCTAGTAATAGTTCTAGTATCTTCCTAAACTACCTATATGGTAGTTTACTAGTAATCTAACTGGTACGTATGGACATGGATGTATACCCTTGCTACCCAAGGGCATTGGAATGAACTAGAAGGAACTTTATGACTATATATGTACACATGATATATATAACTAATATTTAAATGACCTTCGGACGGGTACCTGATATCCCACCAGACCACATCTCAAGCGTGAAAAGGAAATAGGGTGGATAGACTTCCTAAGTCTTTTGAACATTCCTTATATAAATATACATATATAGGCATGCAATTTATAATATAAAAGCATAAAGTAAGTTTTGTAAAACCTTTGAACATAATTATTATCTAAGAAAAGATCGACGTGATGTCAATCTATAAAACGGTTTGAAGGCATGGGTTTGATAAAACAATTTAGTATAAAGAAACATTTTTTTGAAACACAATTGTAAAGAAGTTTGAAATGTAACATACAGAGTAAAATGTACAGTGTAATAAGGAGTTTTAAACACATAAAGTGTTTATGAAAAACATTTGAAGGAAACTGTTTGGTAAAACGGCTAATGAGTAGCCAATCATTTAAATGCTGCTTATTAATCACATGTGATTGATATAATAATTAGCATAATTCTACTTGTATCCCCCCCCCCCCATAAAACATTTAAAAACAGTTAAAACGTTGATTAAGGGGTATGAACTCACCTGTAGCAAGTGGATCGGAAGGAAGTGTCGGATAAGTGCTTGGTGTCAAGTGAAGACTTAGACACGCACAAAGATCCTAATAACATATAAGGATATATGTATATAAACAATTAGTCTTTAAACAACTAATAAACAAAGTCAAGACACTCTAAGGCATGACAAACACTTTGTATAAGTGTTATAAGTGCTAAGGAGTGCATCTAAGTGTTGTAGGGAAAGGCTAGTATGATTGGGGTTCAAGGAACACTCTTAAAATGAGTTTACTCCCTAAGGACCAACACCCCTTGAGTTTACGGTCATAAACTATTGAGTTTACGGTCGTAAACTCCTAACCTTTTGACCATTTGTTGGTTTGAAGTCTTCTAAGCTAGTCTAAGCATTCCTACTTCATGATTTAGCCTTCGGATGTGTTGTGTGGCATCAAAACACTCCTAAATGGACTTTACGGTCTAAGGACCATTTCTCCATGAGTTTACTACCTTAAACTCATGAGTTTACTTCCTTAAACTCATAAGTTTACTACCTTAAACTCATAAGTTTGGTATTTGGCGGTTTTCTAGTCCTTAGCTCAAACATGGCAATAGTCTAGGTTAGATTTAGACATAAGGAACAACCATGGGACATTTATGGGACTTTTACACCTCATTTGAGGTGTTTATGGTTTTGGGAGCTCCCCAAACCGTAAACACATAAAAATATATGATTTTGGTGCTTTTTGTGTGATACACCCATCAAGGATGGATCTACACAAGTCCCTAAGGCATTGTGAAGCATTTAGACACCCTAAAGCACCCTAAGGCACTATATTGGGTGTTTACGGTTTTGGGAGCCTCCCAAAACCGTGAACACCTTGTTCTTGGTGTTCTTAGGACTTTTCCTTGGTATAAACATGTATAGCAAGCTTAAAATGACTCTATGATAGAAGTACTTACATAGAGGAAGCTTGAAATGAACTTTAAGTCCAATAACACTTAGTGTGTGTTCTTGGTGTTTTTGGAAATAGATTGAAGATCTTGAATAAAAACTTGGATGATACTTGAGAGGATATTTTGGAGTTTACTCTTTGGACATTTGGGGAGTAAACACAAATGACTAACTTTTTGGGGAGTAAACTCATACATAGGTATGAGTTCATGGTTTTGGGTGATTTCTCAACCCAAAACATAAAAGTTTGGTCGGGTGCTTCTAATACGCGAAGTGTTCGCGGTTTTTAAAATTCAAAACCCGAGACGGCACTTTCTTTCACCCGTTCGTTTAAAAATAATATTAAAATAATCAAACGAACTTTATATTTCTTAAAAATAAGAAATAATGACATTGACTTATGATACGAAGTGGTTGACTTTTAGGGTTTGACTGAATGGAAATTTCGGGTTGTTATAGTTATTATGCCCATTATTGTTGTTACGACGAGGGGCATTGGGTTCATGCCTAGTGGCATTGTTGGCTGATGAAGTATACTCCACTGTAGTGTTCATAGAGGCTGCTTGTGCTTCATGTGCAATTAAATAAGAGTAGAACTCTGGAAGAGTTACCTTCCACTCATTGCTTATAACAGTATTAGTATTGAAAAAGATCACTGTGTCCAGGCCCCAAGCCGGCTAGTATGTAACCAATCACATCTTCGCCACCCATACGTTGACCAATGTTTGCCATGGTGTCGGCAAAACCTGTCATTTTCTGATAATACTCGGCCGCACTCATGTTTCCTTACCTTGTTGTGGATAGTTGAGTATGGATCTAAATAGAGTTTCCTCGATGTTGTGTAGAAAACATGGTGTTGATGGTTGTCCACAATTCCTTTGTAGTATTAATGCAACGGATGAGTTGAGGGAGAACCTCTTCTGTCATCGAGGAAAGCAGGCCTCCAACCACAACCTGATTTTGGCGATTCCTTGGCAGCATCACCAGTTCCCGTAGTTACCTTTTCAGGAGGAGCAAGTATGGTTCCATGAAGATGTCCAAAGAGATGAACACCTTGTAAGATAGGAACAACTTGAGCTTTCCATAGTAAGAAATTGGTGCGAGTTAACTTACATGAAACAACATTGGCAATGGTGGAAGATTTTACGGGAGCAGACATTGTAGAGATATCCTTTGGCGAGGAAGACCAAAGAACCGAAGATGGAAGGTAGGTTTTGTTTGGAGCGTGAGATCTTGGCTCTGATACCAAGTAAAACAGAGAATTTGGCGTAACAGATCCCAGTGGGATTGATTGAATACATATATACGAATATGATTACAAGATAACAATGATCCCTTATAATTAGGATGTATCTATACAACAGGATATATCCTATATTCAAAACCTTTCATCTAACCTGTTTATAAGATTTAGTACTTAACATTAAACAATTTACTATATTGGTCATGTAATGATATATGAAGATACGAGGTTACATATAAAGTGTATTAAAAGATATAAGAATTAACATTATATGTATAAGTGACACATATTTTTTACTAAACAAAATAATTGGTTATTTACTATTTATTAAATAATGAAAATTAAATAATACAATATATTTAATAATTAAATAAAAATGGTTGATTTAACAAAATCCAATTGATTAATTAATTAGAAGTAATCAATTAAAAGTTTTTGGGTTAACTTGATTGTTAAATTGTAAAGTTTTCCTAAATCTATCGAACAGTGTATGTACAAAAAGAAAGGCGGTTTGGGATTAGACAGTCCTTGTATCATTAGAATCTCTAATTGCCTCCATTCCACCTCCTTTTCTTAATTCAAAGTCTCTTAGTTGTAAATCTCGTTGGGTTTACAATTTTCATAGATAATGAAGATAAGCTTGCTGCTTTGTTTTATTGGTTCGTGTCTATCATTTATCATAAATTGTTACTAAAATATTAGGTGTTTTGTTTTAACTTTGAATGATATGTACTTATTCAAATCGTAGCATTTAAGGTTGGTAAAATCATTATAAAATTGTCAAAGGGTGATTATGAATCAGGTAATGATAACGGTTAGTTAGTAAATAATAGTACTGATTATTAACATTAACACATAGTAACCTTACATAACCGAAAGTGAATTGTTATTTTTGAAAGTAGGGTGTCGCTACTTAAAATATAAGACCAATATAATCAAGGTAATTATCATCGGACAATGTTTATAAATGATTTAGTAATTTTAAAACATGAAATTTACGTCAAATCATTGGATTGAACATTACCATGAATCCTCAAATCAATTAATAATGTTATATAATACACAAAAAAAAAAACCTATGTATTACGAATAGCCCTTTTGCAAATCAAAAGGTAACACACGTAAATCATCTAAACAAATATAAATAAAATTCAAAAAATGTGGAAAACAAGTTTTTTTTTTTTTTCATTACCTCGGGTAGAAATGACTCTGGGAAACTGTAGCAATGGAACTAGAACTATCCGTGTAACTGTAATTTTGTAACTTTTCTGAAATGTCATTCAATTCCATGGTTTTTTCATCTATGAAAGGAGGATTGGAAGGGAGGGGTAAAGGTTCATCATCTTTTGCCAACATTTTTAGTAACATCGACATTGTTGGTCTTAAAGATGGAGCTTCTTGTGTGCAAAGAAGTCCTACTTGTACCACTTTTTTAGCCTCTTTGTGATAATTAGTGTTGGGATAAAGATGCATCATTAGATTCGGGTCGAATATCTCTTCCACTGTATCTTCTTGGAAATGCTTCCATGCCTATAACATTAAATTATCAAAATAATATTACTTTTTAAAAAATACGTTCAATTTTTTTGTACCGGATGAAATTATTATACTTACAATAGACACTAAACTGTCGGTATATTCTGTGGTTTTGCTTTTGTTGTTTTCCATACCGGTGACTATCTCCAAAAGTAAAACACCAAAGCTATAGACATCAGCCTTTTCGGTTAACTGACCATGGGCTAGATACTCCGGAGCCATATATCCTCTAGTGAAGTTGAAATAAAACTTAAAATTAGAAATGTAGAAAGAAAGCTGACGTGGCACAAATGAAAATACTTACAGTGTTCCAGCTATGGCAGTGCTGATGTGACTTTTATCATCTTGAAAAGATCTGGCCAACCCAAAATCGGCTATTTTAGCACGAAGTCTCAAGTCTAACAAGATGTTAGCAGCTTTGATATCTCTGTGAATAATTCGGTTCTTGGTGTTTTCATGAAGGTAGACAAGGCCTTCTGCTGTGCCAATTATGATCAAAAATCTTTTGTCCCAGTTTAGGGTCTTCCCTTTTGTTGCATCTGTAGAAAATTCACAACTTCTTCATAAATACGTTATACAAAACACAATCTAAGCATCAAGAATTTTGAAATTTACCAAAAATAAAGCGGTCGAGGCTCATGTTGGGAAGATATTCGTATACGAGAATGCTTTCGGGGCCTGAACAACTGCATCCTAACAACCTCACAAGGTTTTTGTGTTCAACACTGCTAATCATGTTAACTTCGTTATAGAAATCCGCTGCTCTGAATTTGTTGTTGAAGAAGAGCCTCTTCACAGCTATTTCTCGCCCATCTGAAAGAATTCCCTGAGAGATAGATACTCACACTTCACATTAGTTGTTATATAAATATCAGATGACTGACCAATTTTACATGGCCAGTCATCTGATTTTAGATGATTAAAAGTCAGTCATCTAATGTCAGATGACCGAGCATATAGTATAAGGTAGTACCTTATAGACCGTTCCAAATCCTCCTTGTCCAAGCTTATTGCATTCGTCCCAATTTCCCGTGGCCTTTTCAACCGTTGAGTATTTAAAGTTTAAGCTACTATCATTAAGCATCTTTGACAGTTTCTTTGCATCATAAGAACCTGAAATATTAACCACTCATTAGTGTGTTTTGAGAACTCGTACACTAAAATTTTAACAAGTCCAAAATGGAGTAGAATAAATGAATGGATTATATTATACCTTTTCTCTTCTTTTGTACATATCTTTGTTTCCATATATACAAAATTATCATCAGAGCAACTGTGAGAACTGCCACAGAACTAACAACAGAAACCACGATAGCTATTATCTTTCCTGTAAAAACCATAAATAAAAATTGATGAGTGGAGATCTATACAGAGTGAAATTGATAATATAATATAAATTTTATATATTATATGTAAATATAAATTATATTTTAATTGAAAATTTTATATACGAGAAAATCTATAATATAAATTATAATTGGTTACCTCGATTGCTAGACCCGGTTGCAACTGGTATAGGATTCAAAAAATCCATATCAGAATACCTCATAAAACACCCCGTATTCAACACCCTCCCCTCCGACCACGGCAGACATTTCGAAATCGCCGCCGAAGCATTCTCCAAACACGCCCTACACTCCGCCGGAGTCAAACTCCTCCAACATTCCGCCATCACAAACACCGACTCATTCACATTCACCACACTCTCCCCCCTCGCAAAATAATCCCAATTTCTCGAACCCTCAACCACCGCATTCCCCACCGCCTGCCTCACCGCCGCCCCAAACAACCCACTCTTCGCCGTCGTATTCCCACAAACCAACTTATCATTCGGGCCAGTGTATTCATGATAGAAGCTGTAATTTTGAACCCGCATAAAACAACCGTCGAGGTAAATCCGGCCGCCGTTGTTCGGGAAGCAACTGGGGAGAACTGTACGGGCTTCGGCGTAGCATAAGATGCAGTCTTGAGATGAAAGGTCGCCGTAGCATTGGGCGAGGCCGTAGTTGCTGTCGGGTCCGGTGCCGGTGACGGCGGTGCCGTTGCGGGAGGTTCGCAATAGTGTGCCGATTATTTCCATTGTACGGACGAAGTTTGGGATGAATTGCGTCATGTTGTTTTCTAGTTGTCGATCGCATGTTATGTTGATGATTTTGGATCTTGCGTCTCCTTTTGATCGAATTAGTAGCGATAGAATTACGATTAAAGTAATCAGAATTGAAGGTGCATGTGTTGATTTCACCATCTTGTAGTATATGGTTTGATTGACTTGATAGAGGCTCTGTTAAAAATGGGAGTTTAACAGGAAGTCTTGTAGTTTGGTTGTTTTCAGCATTGATTATCTTGCCACGTCATCGGTGATCTTGTCATATAATGTACGATTTTTTGCGGTTCAAAAAAAAAAAGGAAAAAAAAAAAAAGTCAAACGAACAGTTATAGCGAATATTGAAATTGAAATTTACTTATAAAAGTAAGTAAAAAAATACGAAGGCGTGTTGATTGTTACTATTCCAGACTTTTGTGTGTACTGTTTGTCGCTGTGTGAAATCAAGGACACCAGGAAAAAAAATAGTCTTTCATATTGGTCGGTATTTTTCAGGGTGAGTCGGTGAGTTTTTTTTTTTTTTGGTTAAAAAGTTAAATAAGTCCCTCTTTTATAGAAACATTATAGAAATGATACGTATCTTTTACAAAATCAGAGTAATGGCCCTGCCTAGTTACGGTTTTATGAAATAGTTCTTACATTTCATAAAATTATAGATTTGTCCTTACTTAAGCAAAGTTATTGAACTTGTCCATGTGTTTCACAAAATTACAAAAATGATCCCTACCTAATAAAATGTAGAAATTAGGTCAAAAGTATATGATTAATAAAGCCGTTGCAAGTACGGCTCATCCATACCCCAAACCCTACCGTTCCTTTTTACCCCATCCTCTATTCTAAACCGTCTAAACCTGGTATCTTTGTCTTTTTTCTCATGAATCCTAAATCGTATAGCTCATCCATACCCCAAACCCTACCGTCCTTTTTTAACCCATCCTCTCTATTCTAAACCTGGTATCTTTGTCTTTTTTCTCATGAATCCTAAATCATCCAACTTCTTCTTTCCTTTGATTTTAGCAGAGCCACCCCGATGAGTTTCTAGAAATAGGTTTTAGGTTTGTTCTTGATTTTGGTTAATTTGATGTCGATTACATCTTTTGATTTTGATTACAAGCAGTTTGTATTTTGTTTTAATTACATTATGTTTGTTCTTGATTTTAGATTTGTTTTCATGTTTCTGATTAGGGATGAAAACCGAACAGAAATCCAAACCAAAACGAACTGAACTGAATTAGGCCCGAATAAACAATTCGATTCGGGTTTCGGATATCTATATTATGCTTATTCGGTTCGGGTTACCCAAATAAAAGCTTATTCAGTTCTAAATACCCGACCCAAATAAGCACTCATCCTCCCATTCCCTGATCAATAGAAATCATAAATTACGGTTAACAATTCTATCCTCATCGTTCATAACAGGAAAAAAAACCCTACACTCGTTCTCATCGTTTCATATACTGACCAATCTTCTAATCTATTTCCACACTCGAAATCACTTCTGTTGATCATTCCTCTTGTTTAAATGTGTTATTGTGTTATGTTAGTCTTTGAATGTTTTATGTTGATGTATAAAAACACATTGTTATTCTATTATTCGGGTTCTTGAACCCTAATATGGTTTATTTAGATTTTTTCGGTTATATTGGGTCCTTAATCATCTTATACTTGTTATTCGGTTAATAACTAAACCGAAACGATTAATACTCGAACCGAACCGAACACGTATTGGTTAATCGGTTTGTTTTTAGATTCATGCAATTACCCTTATTTGGTTTTCGGGTTATTCGGGTTCAGATCGGTTCGATCCGGTTCCGACCCAAATAACATCCATATTGCTAATCATTGTGGTTCTTGGTGGTGGTTGTCAGTTCCTTTATCATGGGAGGAGGTTTTGGTAGTTGTTGGTTATTTTATTGGTGGTGAGACTCTATCTTTAAACCAGGTTAATTCATTTTTTTAATTAATAAGTTAAAAAAACTAAAAAATAAAATAAAAATGACAATATAGTTTTTTATGTATGCCATGGACGAAAAAATACAACAAAATCATACTACAAGGACAATCCAAGTGCAAAAAAAAAATATTAGAGACCAAATTCACAATTTTAACCAACCATGCGAAAGATTTCACCAATTTACTCCTAACTTTAATAATTCTTGAAATCGAAGGGTTAGACTATTTAAGGATTAACGGACAGTTAGTCTATAAATATGATTGATCCTAATCAACCCAGCCTTTTTCTAAGATCGAATTTGGATATAACGAATTTTCAGTTTTGGATTGTTTTGTTCTATCTCTAATTATCATAATCCAAGAATCTCTAACAATGGACGCCATCCTCAGTTATTCTAGAAAACAAGCAATATGAGAGATTCTTGAAATGTTGGAACAAAATAAAAGCATATAAATATAAATGGTATGAAAGTGGGAAAGTCAGTGAAGTTTTAATACCCTAATCGGCTACTTTTGTTCGATAGTAGTTGGGTTACTTTCATGTTCGTAGGTAGCAAATAAAGTCAAGGATAGGTACCGACAATTTATAATTATTATAATTATGGTTATCTTTTCTAAAACAAATTTAATTAATTACATATTGAATTTTTTACAATGTCTCATAAGAAGCTTATTAATTATATATATGTAAATGATAAAAAAAATACTTTTATAATCTTATACTAGATGTGAGACCCGTATAATATACGGTTTGATTTAAAAAATGATTAAACTTAAAGTATAAAAATAAAATATTTTTTAACATATAACTTTAAAATAAGAAAAAAAGAAACATATTTATTACAATTTAATATTATATATATGATTTTTAATATTTTACATATATATATATATATATATATATATATAAGTATATCACTTTAATTAAAAATTAAAACAAACAAAAAATTAACAAGTAGATAATATTTATTTCAAAATTACGACAAAATGATAAATATCAAAACTCATGAGCGATTGATAAGTGGCAAAAAAATCTTCATTTATTAAGGAGGATTCTTTTTAATTATATATTTAAAGGAAAATCAATAAATAATATTTTTTATCGTTTAGCATAATATATATATATATATATATATATATATATATATATATATATATATATATATATATATATATATATATATATATATATATATATATCTTGTACGTTACTTTCAACTAGTTTGATGTGTCTTTGAATTTAATGAGTGGGCCTAAGTTCATACTCAGATTACATTGCACCTTATACTTCAACTACCTACTTTTATTATCAAAAGGTTGTGGGGCATGTGTTTGACATATAGGCTAAAAATTAATATTATAATAACAAATATATCAATAGATAAATTACAGAAACAAGGATTTACCCTCAGATTACTCATTACTACGACTTCAGATGTGAATGACTTTTACACGCTAAATAGTTTTTTATTAGAAAGAAGAAATACTGGAACATGAAGCATCAAAATAAATGCAATAAATTTACGTTATTTTTAATTTTTTATAACCTTATTATATTCCAACTTTATGATGAATAGATTTGAAGAACTTGATGATGATCAGTTACAGTTCAAAGAACATCAAAGCAATTAATACTATTAGACATTAGACAATATCTCCCACTTTTAGGAATTAATACGAAAACGATCAAGTTTCTAAAATCGAATTGGTTCTATAACATTCCTGAAAACAGTTTTTAAAGAATCAATCATGCACAGTTGACACTCATCAATCTAAGTAGTAAAATCTAACTAAAAACGCAATGATTCCATCATAAAAGCGATATTTCCAATAAAAAAAGCAATATAACAATGATTTCAGGTCAAAATTCTTATGCTTCAGTTACGACTGGATAATGAACTCTAGAAATGAGACCCGATGGAAGAAAAACGATGAGAAACAACAAAAAAACTTGCATACACCGACCTTTGTTTTTAGAAAAACATGAAGAAAGGTTGGAAATGAAGTATGAAAGCATATGAATTACTTAACGATTGGTTCTATCGAGTAGTGAGAAGCAAATCAAATTCGTTGTTGACAAATAACATTCGAATCATAGTAGCATTAAATGCGCTGAAAAATTAAAGACAAATAGAATAATTACAGATCGGATTTCATACCTGTTGACTACATTTGAATCATGAAATCTAGCTAGAGGCGGATTTAAATTTTCGCTTCCTTCTTCAGTTTGTGGTCTTCTGGATTATTATAGAACGATTAAGGGTAGGTGATATATCACCACTTGCATATACAGGATATGTACGTATAGACTGGGTCAAAAAGGAGAAGAAAGTGGAAGAATAATCTATGAAGCTAACAATGGAAGATGGTTATTCTGCGATGAAGATTGACTTTCAAGTTTCAAGTAGTATATACGCGCTGCATAAATTGTCACTTCAAATTTATGGGATTTGGAATTTGCGTGAGGCCATTCTTAGATATCTTTTCTTCCGTTTTTTATTAAGTTACAGAAATAGTCCCTAGACTATACCTTATTTTGCAAAGTGATGGTTTTTTCTTTTTTGTCAAAAACTCAAAACTTTTTATTGCAATTTCAAGTCTCTAGCCCAAACGTCATTGTAAACAACCGTTAAATCACGCATGCTTATTGCACATATCAACCTTCTAAGGGCGTTTTTGTCTTTTTTGAGAAAAAAATAAATTCTAAATCGTTTTCATCTATAACTCCTTTCATCCATTATATCGACATATAACAAAATATTATAGCATATAACTATCAAATCTTTTTAGTGATCTTAAAGTTATGTTTTTTTATATCATTTCAACGGACAATAATCGAATTTGAAATTCACAAAATCAGTTTGGATGATAACATGTATGCATTTTTTCAACATTTACAAAATTGGTTCGGATGATAATTTGTACGGTTTTTTTAAAAAGAGTTTTCTAAAGTAAACATCGCAAATAGCCCAATAATTCAAGTATATAAATAATACAATTATCTGTTTATGGAAATCAGACAAACATTTAAAACCTTAAGTTGGCCTTGGGGGTGTTCGGACATAAACTGAAAACCGTAAGCACGAAGTTTAGTGAGTTCTCCAAAATACTGCATAACATACATATATGCCAGCTCAAGACTTTATCGGGTCTATTTCAACCCCGAGTCTATTTCAACTCATTTGTCA